GGGGCAAATTTCTAAAAAAGTTTTGGAATTCTGGTAAGCGTACAACGGGTGTTCACATAACCAAATTAAGCCGGAGTACTTTTTCTTTATTTTTTTTGTTTTTAAGTTGTTTGAGCTTAATATCATTTATATTATTATTATTTCTCATCAGTCTTTTTAACTCAATACTGTCACATCTAGTATCGTGGTGGCTAGACTTAAAAAATATTTTGGTGGGCATGTCCTTTCTTGCTACAAACTCCATTCAATATTTAGCCCTTTCTCAGTTTCGAAAGTTTTCTGAAGTCAAAACAGCCTAAATAAGGTTGACGTTTTCTTGCCAGTCAAAAAACCGGATAGAGTTGTAAGGGTTCAAAAAGATCTCCAGCTCCATTTATCACAGTATGAATTGTACTTTGGCCATGATTCGACCACCGAGGTGCGTATACTAAGAAGAATTATTGCACACTAAGAGACCTACCTTCCTTCATTTAGGTCTGTTCGTGGGACTTATATACTTACCTTTGCCGATAACACAGCCAGGGGTTAATGGTGTGCTGCCCACACTAATATATATATAGGTGAAAAATTAAAGCTTCCGCCTTTTGTTGGGTACTTCGACAAAATTTAAGCAAAGAGGACTCTTTATACTTTTTTTAATTCTCTCTAGCTTTCAATGGACTTTGCCATCATCATCAGGAGAGTAGTATGTGAGGATGATGCTAACTGTTGTTTACGTATAGGATGAGGGACACGTCCAGTAACATGGTGAGAGCTGGATAGATGGTACAATGGTCAAATGACCACGTCTCAAGTTATATATTCCGCCTTTTGTTGGGTACTTCGACAAAATTTAAGCAAAGAGGACTCTTTATACTTTTTTTAATTCTCTCTAGCTTTCAATGGACTTTGCCATCATCATCAGGAGAGTAGTATGTGAGGATGATGCTAATTGTTGTTTGCGTATAGGATGAGGGAAACGTCCAGTAACATGGTGAGAGCTGGATAGATGGTACAATGGTCAAACGACCACGTCTCAAGTTATATATATATATATATATATATATGAATTTATATCGTTTTATAGTAGTTGATATATTATAGTATTGTTTATTTTCATATAGTAGGCTTGTGTTACAGATTTTCATATATTTTGGATTTTGTAATCTATGTATCTTTTTAATTTATCACTACAGTAAGCAGCGGGTGCTGTCTTTGGAATTCACATTCTGTTGCACCCCAAACATGAGTAAATAAATATATATATATATATATATACAGGGTGACTTTGAAGTTGAGTCATTAATTTTCAGATAATGATTGTAGAAGGAAGATAAACCAAAATATGTGTGTAAAAATAAAAGAAAAATTAAAAAAAAATTACCTTGTTTTATAAAGTATCCTCCCGACAAGTATTTCAGTGCGGACCTGCATTTGATCGTGAGGCCTTGGAGCACCGGCATGCCCTCCCCTGTGAGGTCTTAAGTCACCTGATTCACGAGCCCATTGTACTACATTAACAAAGGCACGAGGGGTTGGTTGCACTCGATTGGGAAACCGATCCGCATAAACATGTGCCATTTTTTATTTCGTTTGAGCCACGCAGCAAACACCACTATTCACTCACGCGTTACCGACTGACACATTGACTGATTAAAAACATCGTGATCAGCGTTTCAAATTCTTTCGCTTTTTTGTTTCCGATGCGATGAACCGATAAGGCGGATTATATACGTTGTTGCCAAACACGAGCACATAATATTATTATTGAGACAGGGCGGTACTCAAACTTCAAAAGGGCTATAACTTTGTTGCTTTAATTTTACCACAAAAATGTTAAAGGAAAAAACATTTCTTTTGATCAGATCTACTCACTGTTAAAATAAATGACTCAACTTCGAAGTCACCCTGTATATATATTTATATATATACATATGCCTCTTTGTCAGATTAACCGGCATGGAATACACATATGCGGGTTATCTCAATCTTTGGTATTTTGTCAGCTGGACTCTTCGTGAGAAAGGCGACGATATTGACCGTTTTGTATTTGTACGTGCTAACAAGGAAACACTTTGAAATAATCAAGATATTTTTTAAATATTATCACGCTCAACTATATTATGATTCCGCGTCGAAAGCAAAAAATGAGCTCAAATTAAAAGAATCAAGTCGGTCAATCCAATGTAATTTTTCTCAGGGGGGCGGCGTATCGACAAGAGATAACTTTTTGTGAAAGTGTGCCTCAAAAACTTTTTGAAGAGTGGGGTCTAAAAATTTTTTCAAGGTAAGCAAAGTCCTGAAAATCCTTAAATTATCGGGGTTAGAAGCGTATAACTATACTACCGCCAAAATTTGAGACACACCCTCCCCCTTCCGAACAACCCACAACCTCCTATTTACAACTCCTCCAATTTTTTCTGTAAGTGAAAAGCAGAAAGTTTGAGCCCATTTTATTTTTAGTGGTTCTCTCGTTTTCCAGTTATAGACTGGTCAAGGGTTAGCGGATAGACAGACTGACGGAAATGAGTGACATGGTGTTTTGTGATGCAAGCGTCATATAACGTTCAAGAACGACACTTCATTTTCGACATTTTTGGTAATTACTATAATTCTCCGCCAGTGGCGTGGGAAGTAACAGAGGCTTCGGGATAGTTCAGCAGTGTTTTTTTTTGTGTGTGTTAATAACTGTTAATACACTGTAATTCTAAATTATAGCAGCATTAGGGGTATGGTTCAAGCTGCTATAGATTTCTGGTAAATCGGTTCGGTCGTTACTAAGAGGAACTGTCAGACAGACACAAAACGTAACTTTAACATTAGTTTTTTTGTGTGACGGACAGACCGTATACGTAGCAAGCAATAAACAAGTGTGAAACAGGAAAAATCTACCGAAATAAGATAAATTTAACGAGAAGTAATTGGAAACACAAGTGGATAAATGTGTCTTGGAACAAAATCATTGTATGGAGAAAATTGACTTTAAGCATTTTTTATTGGAACTTTTTATTTTATTGAAAATTTAAACGTTTAGTTTAATTAGTCTGTTATTATCTTGTGTTTGCAACAAAGTAATCACAGAATAAAATAATCACTCCTTAAGGTAAGTTCAAAAAAGGAATTTTAAAAAAATGTTACATGACACCTTTATCCACCTGTGTCTTTAATTGTCTACCGATGATCAAACAAACGAAATTTGCATATTTTGCATGTAATCCCGACAATTTTGGAGCCCTTTAGGATTTGCTCTCGTTCTTCAAAAGGTTCTGGAGGTAGGTAAGCTATCACGCAAAGTTATCTCTTGCCGATGGATGGTCCTCCTCCTCCCTCTGAGAAACGTTGTTGCGGGTTCACATTATAGAAGTTATGAGTACATTTCGCATGGACGACGATGGGCGATCCGCACACACAGCAGTGTCTTCAATTGTCTACCGATAGGCTATGCGTGGAAACAGGAAAGCAAAATTAAGAAATGAGAACATGAAACCAAAGGGGTATTGCCTAAATATGCGGAATTAAACAAAAGTAGAATAATTACCAACTATTTGACATCGTTAAGAAAGTATTTCATAAAAAGTTAATAACAAAGAAAAAAACAGTTGACTCTGCGTTCATTCTTAAATTCATAAAGAAATATGTCGGCCCTGATGTTGGCACAAGTATCCCCTATAAGAAAAAAGTTAGCACCTACCTGTATAATAAATAAATTAGATGGATCAAACAAACGAAATTTGCATATTTTGCATGTACTCCCGACAATTTTGGAGCCCTTTAGGATTTGCTCTCGTTCTTCAAAAAGTTTTAGAGTTAGGTAAGCTATCACGCAAAGTTATCTCTTGCCGATGGATGGCCCTCCTTCTTCCTATGAGAAACGTTGTTGCGGGTTCATATTATAGAAGTTATGAGTACATTTCGCATGGACGACGATGGGCGATCCGCACACACAGCAGTAAAGCAGCGGCGGCCGACTGCTACACGCATGCATCGGCTGGACCGCGGAGCACGTATTATCGATGTTATGTCTAAAACTAGGTCCAATCAACCTGATCCCTGCTACATCTAGGCTTAGCCAATCCTTAGTGGATAAAACTAGATGTACGTATATTTGAATTATCGAGTTTTTTTTCTCGCATTGTGATTTAAAATGGCAATGTTCGAAATATCAGAATCTATGAAATCAAGTTTTTACGGAGAGATTGAGCTCATATTAACTTGACAAGGCGATAATCTTTATATGAGTAATGAACAGTATTTGAAGTATATCGAAGTAGTCAAAGCTGCAAAAAGGCCACGAAGTATTCGACTTTACAGTATCGCCGTTTGAAGCGTTTCGATGTCTGTTGCATTGCTGCGATTCAGAAGTTGATTGCTCTTTTATCCAATGGCGAAAATACCGAGGACCTCAAATACTACGTGAAGAATGAAGACCTGTTCGATGTTCTTCATAAATACACGTGAGCATTGGGCACGGTGGGCGAAATAGGATGATTGTAGAAGCTAAGAACAAGTTCACAAACATCACTGAGGAGGCTGTTCTTATTTATCTTCGTTTTTGTAGGTCATGTCAAATGAAACAAAATTCAATCAAAAAAGGTATTTTCGTGAAACCCATTTTATCTAATGAGCTGAATAACCATTGTCAGAAGGTAGATTTGATAGAGATGCAAACAAATCCAGATGGCAATTTTAAATTCATATTAGTTTTCCAGGATCACCTGACGAAGTTCGTACAGCTACGCCCTTTATAGCGTGAGACTGCTGAGGAAGTACCAAAGGTACTGCTGGATATATTTGGCATATTCTGATCATCATATATATTGCAATCTGGTAATGTTCTGGAGTTAGTTCACCGAGTTGTGGAAAATTTGACAGAAACGTGGTCAGGTCTAAACATTGTGCATGCGAAGCCGCGCCATAGCCAATCAGCGTAGAACGTGCTAATCATGATATCGAAAAAACGCCTGTGGCGTGGATGACCGATGAAAATTTTCCTAAAACTGGTCTAAAAGATTAAGATTCTAATGAAAAATAGAGCATACCATCATGGAATTAGAAGTACGCCGTACCAAGCAATGTTTGGTTGTGATGTTAAAGTTGGCTTAAGGTTATCAGTTCTGCCTGTTGAAGCAATCGAAAGGATTGAGAATGAGGAGGATCTGGAGAAAATTCAGTTGAAAAATAACAGTAGCGAAGTAAATAAGACAGAAATCTAATCCCATGGAAATTAATTTACAAAAAGCAGTTTGCGAGCAGGTGAGAAGTGTGACTTGTGCAAAAAGAAACAGAATATAGATGCAAGGTAGGTGATACCGTCCGTGACAAAACTCCTGACGTTGAAGAAGTAGAGGAGACTTCCTAAATATTTGAATGGTGCTACTTGAATGTACTTTGGATGGTTTATACAGGGTGGCGTATCGAAAACGAAACAGACACATTTACTGGCAGCTCAGTTTTTTTTGAAAAACGCTCAGACCCGTCGATTTTGTTTTCGAGGGGGACACAAGTTTGGCAAAAGATCACGTTAGCACGTGCAGCCCCATAAGCGGGGCTGACACCACCCCCAAAATCTTAAATGGAAAGGAGGGTCGAGTGATACCTTAATTTAAAGGTCTTTCAATTCCCTTTATAATGATATAAAATTAATGTACTTCAGTTCAGTAGTTTTGAAAATTTATTGATTTAAAGCTTAAATAAAACTAATACATCATCATTAGTTGAGATCAATACATTTGGCAGCAAAGTAATTTAAAAATGAAGAATGAACTGACCCGTTAGGCAAATGTTGAAAATGGCCACCATGACTCCCATGCAATAATAAAGATTTTGGTCAAAACGTTGCAGCACATTTTGCAATATTTAAGGAGTAATTTGAAGGCACTCATTCACAATTCTTTGACGCAGGTCTTCTAATGATGTTGGCTGAGTAGCATAGATTTTGCTTTTTAAATGACCCCACATAAAGAAATCCAAAGGTGATAAATCTGGTGAGCCATTCAAATGCACCTCTTCTACTAATCCATCGATCTGGAAACGTCTGATCTAAATATTGACGAACACGTAATGCGTAATTGGGGCACCATCCTGTTGGAACATCAACCTGTTTTCAATGTACCGCCGATCATTCTGATTTTAAATTATGGCTGTTAATGCAGGATTTATGGCATCTTCCAGTAATTCCAAATACATTTCACCGGTCAAATTTCCAGGTAAGAAAAAAGGACCAACTAAATGATCGCCAAAAATACTAGCCCAAACATATAATTTTTGTGGCTGCTGTGTATGTACCTCATGATAAATTCTGGGATTAGAATCGGACCAATATCGGTAGTTATGACGATTTACTACGCCATTTAAGAAAAAGGAACATTCGTCGGAAATGCAAGTGTTGAATAGAATATGTTCATCGTTTATAATTTGTTCACTCATATCTTCACAAAATTGTAATCGCCGATCAAAATCGTCTTCATTAAGTTCTTGTACCAGATGAATTTTATACGGATGAAAACTATGGGCCTTTAGAATCCGTTGGACAGTACGTCGACTAACACCACACACAGTCTCCAATTCGCGGGTACTTAACGTAGGATCTACATAAACTTGCCCTAAAACCCCCACTTCTGTTGCTTCGTTCCTTATGGGATTTTCAATGTTGCGTTTTTTATTGGCGACTGACTCAGTTTAGCGAAATTTAGGTATAAGTTCTAGAACATATTTTCGATGCACGTTTCTCATGTGGCTCATTAAATATTTCTGCTGTTCTATTAGCGCACTGATTATTCCCGAAAAATATTTCGATAATTTCAACTCTTTCTGCTGTGGAATATACCATGGTCAATTTAGGTAATAAAGCGTTACAAGTTATTTTAGCAACAAAGTTTGGTCAAATCAATCGCAAACTATGTACTGAATTTCTACTTAAAATAAGTACGAGATATTTCCTTATCTTTCTTCAAGAAATAACTTTTTTGCCACAAAAAAACGCTCCAATAGCTATGTTCAACAACAAAATGATAAACAAACCATGGGCGTAGTGAAGAAAAGCTTTTACCTATTAAGTAAATTCTTTTAGTCAAATTTCTTTTGAAAGTAGTACAAACTAATCTGATATACCTATTAAAGTCTCCTTTAAGCTTTAAATCAATAAATCTTCAAAACTACTGAACTGAAGCTCATGTCGTATACATCATTATAAAGGGAATTGAAAGACCTTTAAAAAAAGGTATCACTCGACCCCCCTTTCCATTTAAGATTTTAGGGTTGGTGTCACCCCCGCCCAGGGGGCTGCACGTAATAACGCGATTTTTTGCCAGACTTGTGTCCCCCTCGAAAACAAAATCGACGGGTCTGAGCGTTTTTCCAAAGAAAAAACTGAGCTGCCAGTAAATGCGTCTGTTTCGTTTTCGATGCGCCACCCTGTATAAGTTGGGCAACCAGTCTGGCATAGTAGCCGTATTTTTTTCTAGGAATCAAAATCTTCAGACCTTGAAAATGTTTCGCCCGAAAACAAATCTTTCCGCCAAATAGCCAATGCCCAATCTTCATCTAGTGGACAACGCTATAAAAGATGCCACTGTGAAGTCTGAAAGTAGGAAGTGTTTTCGTAAAGCTGCTGGTATTTTATGTAACTCCAAATGCTATTCAAGTTTAAGTTGTTCCAATAAGTAGATAACCCATCGTCCCAGTTTTTTTCATACCAATGGGTATGTTGACCATCTATTTTTTTTATTACTTTCTTAGTCTAATGAATGTTTCAATAATTTGTGTTAATATGTGTGAAATATTTGAATTTGTAAAGTTCAGTTACAGCCACGACAAAAAATTATGTTTAAGTAAATTGTTATACGGTTACACCCGCTCGAAATATTTTAAAACTATAAACCGGTTACAGGTACGATACAAAATTATGTGTAAACTGTTATACGGTTATACCCGCATGAAATATTTGAAAATTGTAAAGTTCAGTTACAGTTATAAAAAAATACGTTTAATTTATAAAGTTCAGTTACAGGTATGAAAAAATGTTACTAGAATAAGTTTTCTTTATTATTTCGGTTACTCACCTGTGCTGACAATGAAAAGCTATGGCTGGGTTATGTTTAAGAAATTTATTGCTGAAATAAATAATATGAAAATGATGACACTACATTTTCTTTAAAAATACCGGTCTAAACCTGCTTGTAACGTTTACATCTAATTTTAATTACTAAGGACTGGCTAGACCTATTTGTAGCCGGGATCAAGTTGGTTGGACCTAATTTTAACCGAATGCAACCGGCTAATACTAGGTTCGGCCATGAAGGTATAGGTTACTCATAAGATTAACCAACTGCCAGTGGCTACACCTAGTTCTAACCGGTCAAACCTAGTGGTCTCCGCATTAAGAGTTTTAGCCGTAATATCGACACGCCAGGATCTGAATATTTCTCCATCATTCTTGGTTTTAAGGATAAATGTATGGGGAAATCCATAATGAGTGAAATATGACTAATACGTGCGTTGAATTACCGTGGCTCAAGGCGTATAAGTATACCAGTGCCAAAGATTGAGATATACCCTCCACCACTCCCCAATTGTTTGCACCTAAAAAACTTTTCAAATACGAGCAGAATCCTCCGAACCGTGAAAAAACGAAGTTTGTGCAATTTTTATTTAATTACTTCTTTGCTCGTAGTTCCGCCGCCACTGAAAACCATAAAGCTTTTTCGTTTTTGACGTAGTATTTAGATTGTGTGAAAATTCCATTAAAATCCGACCAAATTAAAGGATTAGCGGACGGATAGACAGACCGACGGAAACGTGTGTGTGTGTGTGTGTGTGTGTGATCTCATGTCATAAGATCAAAAAGATCATTATATCTCATTTTCGAAATTTTTCACAATTACAATACTTCTTCGCCAGTGGCGTAGAAAGCAATAATATCAATAACAAAAAATAACGTTATCACCGAAACATATGAAAGCTTATTCACAATTGGCACAAGACATTTACTCTATGTCTCGTATCACTCACGATATTTTTATCGATTAGAAAATTCCTTTGCATACCTATTGAAGCTTCAATTTGATATAAGACAAACATCTCCTTGAAAGGTTACAAAACGTACGATCAGTCGGCGTTTCCCTCAATCATTCATATTTCTATAACCACATCATAAACAAATCTCCGTAATAAGCGTAGACTACATCAGCTTCTTGTAGCTTCATTTTCTGATAACCATCATAGCAGATCTGGTAATTATTTTTGTTTGAAAAGATAATATTCCCAGCAAGTGGGCGCACCGAGTATTTTCCCAAGATTATTTGCCGGCATTGTTCCGCCGAGATTGTTTCCTATGGTGTGCGAAGTTCATTACTTTATTGCTGGTTTTAAGGAGCTACGGTTACGCGGAAGGCATGGGATGATGATGGAAATTGATTTGAAATTGACCAGACAACGAAAGAGATAGTGTGTGAGAGTGTATAGTTATGGTTATAATCAACGAACTTTACTGGGTAGAAGGAGCAAGTACATGATTTGTTTGTATCAAAAAACACGTAGTCAGTAATGAAGATGAAAGTTCATACTATAAGTTGATCTGACTCAAGCCGCCGGTTTGGCAGTTGCTGACATTCCACAATAAGTTCTTAATTTTCGACGGAAGTGTATAAAATCACTTGGGTTCTAAACAGTTCTAATGTTAGAGACAATTACCGAAAACGATGAAGGTTGCTGTGGAACGCAAAGAGCGTTTCAAACTGAACAAGAGTAAAGACATCGGCGTTGCAGAAGGACAAGTACATGCCTCGATGTTGGGCTTTTACCTGCATAGTTGTGAGGTAATTTTGATTTATTCCATTTCAATTCTTGAGTCAATGAGCACCTATTCTTAATCTAATAGTTGAAAGCATAATTATATGTATATACCTAACAACAACTGAAAAATGCAAAATATTGGAGACAAACGAACCTTTTCAATGGATATTGAAAAAGCCCAAACGAAACTTTTAATCCAACTAAAATAAACTGAAATTTAACTCTACGTACTTTAGTTGTTAATCTGAAAGTTCTCAGAAAATTTATTCTTGCGTTATAAATAGTAATTTTGCCGTCTCAATTTAGTAACACGAGATTCTATAGAGGCGGCTCAATAGGCAAAAAACTATGAATTAGATAAACATAATTTTCATATTATGTACAACCGTGTATTTGCTTTTAGTCAAGAATCTGCTGGGATCACCACAACTGTTTATAGAATTCACTCAAGGTGTCCTATTTACAATATTAGGTATTCCGCCATTGTTGGTGTATCATAGAGATAACGTTTTGTTCACCTTACAAAATCACGAACTGAGCAGAATTGTTCATATGCAATATGAAGTTTAACAACTGAGGTAATCATATCGTAACACAGATTGTGTTTGTCCTGCTGCGCGTAAGTACACTCAGTATGATTGGCTCCTTGAATATCCTTTCCAGAGAAAAGAATGTAGGCCTATGTTTCTGTTTGTCACTTTGGTAGGTAAATGGTAGGCACATTAGCTAAAAATATGCACTGACTCTACAACAATGCAATGTAAACAAATCTTATTTATTTTTAGTCTTCAAAAACGGATATTATTGATCGTGATGATATTTTAAACGATAATTTTCGTATTTATCAATAAATAAATAGTGGTTTTCTATAAGAGTTATTCAAAAACCTTAAACAAAAACTATTTATGAGAGATTAGTAATTATGACATTTTTTAAGAAATTTAGCTTGTACAGTTCTGAATATTCTGCCTGAAATTGAGCTTGAACTAGAATTCCCCAATAATTTGTGAGTTATCTACGACCTTGAATTACATAAAAAAGTCCCTTAAAAAGACTTAAAAAGCACAAATTCAATGTTGGTGCAACATGTCATTAGAAAGTAATCTAATATAACCGTAATTGAACAGTCTGATACTATATGACATGAATAACCATGTTTCAACATTTTCCCCTAGAAAATTTGACTTCTGGACTGAATAAATTTGCCCGAAGGTGCCCGAAAACATACGAATATAGTTTCGGTTTCGGTGAATTTCCTACCAAAACCGAAACAAAATCCACATTCATTTGGGACCGAAAACGGCCGAAACCGAGAGTCCGGTCGGACACTAGTTACTCGTATAATACCCCACTGTCTGTATAAACCCAAATTTCGTGAAATGTTTGAACATTGCTTTAATGTCTAAGGAGCTGTTGTGTTGATCACATAGTATAGATTTGATTGTTCTCACCCATGAATTGTTGCAAAGGCGGAGCCTAAGTGCCAATTATTTATGATTGAAACAGTTCTAAGCTTGCGCCAGAGATTTTCCGTTCCTTAAAGCAATCGCGGTACGTCGGTGTCCATGCTTTGCCTTCTTATTTATTCGATTGTAAGAAATCAGAAGCAATTGACTTTTTCCAGCTGAGATGCTTAACATTCACAAAATGTGTGAGTGTGCGAGTAGGGAGTCTTATGATGTTCCTGCTGGGCAAATGGAAATAAAGCTGTTTCAGCAAGCAAATTCGTTTCGAGGATGTTCCCATATCACTTATGGCTTTGAGCTCTTAGACTATTTTTGCAGCATTGATTCATCAATAGACACAGTCACTTTTTTTAACTGATTCTAGCAAGAACAGCATAAGGCGATTTTTCTTATGACTTTTCTCGAAAGTTAATGTGATAACAGAACTATGTATGCAGCTAAAGATGAAATCATTTACGAGTAGATACGGGTATTTATGAATTTTGCCCTCAAATCAGCATAGTGAAATTGAAATAGACATATTTGTCTGGCCATCAAAACCACATGTAATTGAATTTCTTCTTTAATGTAGTACGCGTTTCGGTCACATCTTCCTCAAATTACATTTTAGTCGAAGATTACCATGACAATTAACCGGTGTGTTAAGACAACAGTTCTGGGTGGGTTTTCTCATTTTTTCGAAGGACTTTTGACGTTTTCGGAACGATGGACAAAGGTGACGCATCTGGTACATTAAGAAATCAACAGATAACTTCAGGCCCGTTCGTCATTTTCTGGGACTAGACGTCCTTTTGGGGCCCGGATTGACTACCCCAGGAGTATACCGTATATGAATGAGAAAGTGAAAAGAAAAAGCAAACGGAGTGTCACCTGGAAGAATATTGTCAAAAGTGTTATGTACTGAAGAAACGTACACTAAATTAAAGAAGAATTTTAAAGACATGTGGTTTCATTGGCAAGTCAGACATGGGGGATTATCGACATGAAAACCACAGAATAAGTTTCGGATGTTACATGAAATGGACATATTTGCGTCCCATCTCTGTAACAACCACACACAACGCTGTTTTGTGCTAATTAGCAACTCATCAGTGCCGCATAGCTCTAGTAGTAGTATATTTTTTGAATTTTCCCATGCTATGTCCGTAGTCTTTAGAAATAAATTTGATTTGAATCCTGGAAACAGATTAACGGAAAGCAAACAAGTGGGTAAGGTCATTTGAAGGTCTTAAAATACTCTGCCGAGGTAGGCGAAAGATCCAACAAGTTTCGCCTACCAATGGTTTGCCAAGTTGCCAGGTTGATCTTGACCCTCATCATATAAGATGAAAGATGATGGTCTTCACAGAGTTGCTTATTAGCACGAAACATCGCTGTCTCCGGTTGGTCGTGGCTATAGAGAAGGATGTCAAACATGCCCATTTATGTTTAAAAAGCATATATTGGTCTGATCTGTGAATACTTGTATTCTAGCGGCTAGATGGTTCGACCGCCTTAGTGGTGCGGCATCTATTTGTGCATTCCTTAGAACGTCGAGCAGTTATGAGCTGGTAGCGTAGGGGTTTTCTAACATCTGTCATCGTGCGAAACGAGGATGAGGATCAATTTGTCAAGCCATTGTTAGGTGGAGGCCGTCAGATTTTTCGCCTACCTTCGCACAGACCTCCTACTGCAGAAAAAAGATCATATCCGCAATTGATAGTTTGGCTGTACTTGAACAATTGAATTTCGGATAACACAGGGGTTAATTTGATATATGCTAGAGCCCTCAATCATCGGACCTTTGTTGATTCATCCATAACTACATCCTCGCCACCAGGTTTGAGGCGCGGCCCTTCAAGGATAAATAAAAAAAAAGATAAAAACCAGTAATGTATTCATTGTATTCATTTCATCACACAACTTATACCTGTTGTAACGGTAAAGTTTGTACTGTGAGAGCTTATACTGATGTCACGTAACATGCATCGTGCAATCACAGCTGAGCGACCAATGAAAAGATTTATACGCTGGGAAGAATTATCTCAAACACGGCAAGAATCCTCTGCCGATATGTTTCATATTTCACTCTGTCAAAGCTTATCGTTGAATTCATAACTAACTTCCTTGGCACGAGCATTTGTAAGATATGGTACAGGCAAAGTAGATGTCGAAACTGCAATAAGGATGGATCTGCTAAGGACCGGTATTCTCGTTCTTCAATTTGAAGGTGCTACGTTTTGAAAACGCTTAGTGAATCATGTCCTAGGTAAAAGCGTTAAGCGTTTGGTTTAGGTATTCTCGTTGTTGTGCAAACGCCTTAAGCTCAATCCGCCTAGCATGTTGACAATGATGCTTTTTTCAATGTTATCAACATATATTTAGTAGAGAGTTACAGCATGACTTCTGTCTACGTTGAGCTAGTAGCTTGCACTAGAAAAATAATGCCATGTTCATATAAGCATCTGTAGACTACGTTAACTGGACAAAAGATTGCTTCACTCATTGATATTATAATAGGTAGAGAATCTATTTTTTTGTAAGGAAAGCATGTAAACTGGTATGCCACTAGGTACTGGGAATTCATTCAAAAACTACCACAGCATCGTGACAATAACACCTAATATCCTAGATACAGATAAAAACCCACACAGCGATAATCAAAAGACTAACCACTTAGTAGTCGTTTTGAAGTCGACACGCGCTTTCCAAAAACGCTAAGGTGTGAGACAAACGGAAATAACATATTTTTACAACCATATCGAAAGCAAGTGCAAATTACGTCATATTCGCTGAGCGAGATAAATAATACCGGTTCAGAGCTCCAAAAACGTCCCCTAACCAAGATACATGATATGGTTTTGAACGCTACTGATTTCACTGACTGGATAACCCAATTATTATTCTTTACTTAACACAAGGTGCTATGAAAGTTGGGACTCTCTTTTTCAGGAACAACTACTTTTGAAATGACAAAGCTAATGTACGGTAAAACAACAGCGAAGAACGGAACTTTTTTTAACAAAGTACATTTGAAGTGCTGCTCTGACTATGATGTCCATAGATACTTCTATCATTCGACTCCAAAACCAGATGTTTTTGTTCGACGTTTGCAATATTCGGGTTGTCTGGTCTTTCCTTTATGCTCACCTTAACGTTCCTGCAAAAGACATATTATGTCCTTAGCTCTTTGTACGGATTAAAAAAACATACGCGGCACACCACGGAAACGACTTCAATACAACCGTGAAGCCTCAACATCATTTATAAAATCCTCACAGTAAATGAACATCACTCCGACTAGTTCGTTATTGCAATAGAAGCGTGCAATTTTCGACTTCTTCAAAATCGGTTTGTAAACAAATTTGATTTACCTACACGACGGGTCAAGTACTGACGCGTGTTAGGTCTTCTCGCTTGATAATCGATTGCTGGACCAGACTGGCCCAAGCGGATATTTTCCGAAACCACTATTTCGGCTTTTCTCATTGTACAGGGTGCGGCAGAGATGACGGACGTTTTTGGGATGGGTAGTACCCTCCGCCTCCGTCTACGAGAGAGGTGGAGAGGGTGCCGTTTGACTCGTGAGATCCTAGCATTATTTGACCAGTTGTCGTTATGGAGCCTTGGACGGTGGAGCACCGCGTTTTCGCCTATGATTGTTTCGTCCGAAATAATGAGTCATCGACGTACAGCGTGAGTTTCGTCGCCACTTCAACATTCATCAGAATAGAGCTGTTCCCTCTCGAAACACCATCCTTCGTTGGGTTGAATCACTTTGCAGGCGTGGTGAGCTGATCACCAGAAGACCAAGAGGAGCGCCGCGAACAGTTCGAACTCCGCGCTGTATCGCAAACTTGCATCATTGGCCCATACTTCTTCGAAGACGGTAATGGTCGTGAACTCAGAGCGCTACGTCGACATGATCACCAACTTCTTTCTCCCTGAGTTACGACTGCGACGTGTTCCAATCCGACGTGTGTGGTTCCAGCAGGTTGGGGCGACCGCCCACACAGCTCGAGCATCCATGGACGTTATTCGCCCTCTCTTCCCTGGTCGCCTTATTTCCAGGTTTGGCGATGTTCATTGGCCTCCTCGGTCCTCAGATTTATCCATATGCGATTTTTTCTTATGGGGACACCTCAAGGCTAGAGTATACGCGAACAATCCCCGAACTCTGGACGAATTGAAGGGCGAAATTCACGTGGAAGTCGCCCAAGTTGAGAGAGCGAAGTTCCAAGAACGCCTCCAGCACTGCATCAACGATTTCGGCCACCATATGCCAGGTGTAATTTTCCACACTTGACTGTCTCAAATGCTATTTCCTTGTGAACCTGATTCCATCAATAAATTTGTTTTCGAGTAAAAATTATCTATTTTATGATTTTTTTAAAACCGTCCATCCTCTCTGCCGCACCCTGTATAAGCAAACTACATGTATTTTGGCACGAACCTTACGCCATTCAAAGGAAAGTTCCAACTTTAAGAATATCCTGTATTATAGTGAGTAGGTATTATTTCTCTCAAAGGCTTTATTGAACGTTGTTGTGAACCTTTCCACAAGGACATTTTTGGGATCATATGACATATGTTTAAACCAATCTTTCCCCGCTCAGAATGGCTAAGAAATATTAAAAAATTGAAAGGTCTTTCAGAAATGAAAAGCCAAGGTCAAAAAAATACTTTTTCCATTTTACTTCTCACGCCTACTGGCATGTTACTTATTTCCGTCCGCCTGTCTGTCTGTATGTCAGTCTATGCACTTATCCTGATCATTTTCAGGGAAATTTGGGTCAAAAATTGGTATTTGGTATTTATAGGGGGTGGGGGACGCACCTATTAGACATATCTCACACATCATAGATTCCCCGTAAATTTGCACTTAAAGCTTAGAATGATAGAGAAATGTTTACACGTTTCTGGTTCTACTCTCTGCGTCCGCATGCCGGTCTAGATATGTCCGTTTGGCGCGTGGTGTGATTGGGTATGAGCGACGGGCGACGTTGCCAGAAGGACGGTGCTACCGGTAGAGAAGTGTGATAATGCATACGGATACTTGGATACATTGGCCCTGTTTGACTGACTTGATCCGTTCAAATTCACTGTTATACATGTTCGTAACTAACTTCTTTCTCAGAGGGTCTAACGTTGGTTTCATGTAATTTTTTATGAACTAGTGACGACGTTGCGTGGGAAATGCAGTGTCTCAACCTATTGACTCCATTATTTCGAAGGAGAGTTCTAACCGGTCTGTGTATTTTTCTTACTACATCTACAAAATCTTGGAGCCAATGTCCTTGTCCATTCTTGAAATATATGTTCCCCACGACTTCGTAAATACAACTTCAACACCCTGTATTTTGGTGAGCGGACATATAAGGACCTATATTTATGGAGACCTTTCGTATTATTTTATAGATATTTTTTTTGCTTTAAATGTATTGGTATTTTTTTTGCCATCCTATATACGATGATTTACCCATGCTTCTAGGCAGAACCTTTCCAAAATATATGCGTGAATTGTAGTTGCCCAATGTAGTTGAGGTCATACCAGTTATACTCTAAAATATTTATTATGCTGTATTGCACATCCAGGCAAAGAATGTTAAATCAAGAACATTGATGGAACCTATATCTCAGTAGAGGTGGTTATCTTCTGAGCTAGAATTTTTGTCTAACAGGCAAGATTTTGGAACTTTAAGAAAAATATCATTAGAGAGGAAGAAGTCATATCAAACTGAAGAGCGATATTATACAGGGACGAAAAGTCTAGATTAAAAACGAAACCTACATATGTTGAATTATCTTAGGGACATTTCGGTTGACCGTGCCTTTTTCAAAGTATAAAATAGAAATAGAAATTACAGTTTGTGGTAAAAAATCGTATGTTTTTTATGGGCAAAAATTAAACGTAATTGGCGAAAGGTGGTATTTAGGAGTGCTTGGTAAAAAATACATTCAGATATTTTATGAGCTTCATCCTCACTACTCATTGCTTTTAATAAATAAAATTGTTGAACACTTAAATGAGATGGCCCGTAAAATCAAGGATTCCAGATCTGGTGCACATTAAGCATGTCGCGGAATTTCCCAGTCGCGTGATTCAAAAGAACAAGAAGACATTAATATGTCATACTCCGTATCCTGTCATAAAATATCACTAGGTAATATACCCCACGGCTCTGCAATTAACGTATCATTTTTTGCTATTTTTGATATATGCAAACTATTTCACCAGCAATTACATCTTTATGAGCCAAGTTCAAGATCTACAAGAAAAAGTAGATTGCAGGGAATGTGACTATAACGTGTCACGGTAAATGAATGGCTTTTATGACTTCTCTAACTATATCATCTAAGAGTGGTTGCTTGAGTTATGTAATCGTATTTCATAGTGTGTTCACGTATGTCTTGATGACAGTAATCATCATCATGAACAAAGAAGGGTTCCACAATTGGTCATTATTGTCGTATGCTTTTATGCTAGTATCTACAACTATTTTATGTAAACTGGAAGTCACAGGATCGATCTTTTAGGCACATGATGCAAAGCAGTTAATATTTTATTGAAACTTAGAAATGATTCCAGAAAAATTAATATTAGACAAATGTCCGCCTCTAGAAGCCGCGCAAACCTGAGCCCTCTTGATTACATTCTTCATCACTTTTTTGACTCACTATTAGAGTAAAATGTTTTGAATTGGATGCATTTGAATTATGTCTATTTTAAAAAAATACATCCCTAGCAGTATATTGTTGTAGCTTATTCTACGGATTCATAGTTTCTAGCAACGCTTTTATCTGGTTTGTTGTAGAGGGTGCGTCATCTATTACTTTTTTTTCTATTTGAAAAATCAACACGCT